TAAATAAATAAATAAATAAATAAAAGGACCAGCTTACCGTGTGATGGTTGCCTCATGTGAAGAACTGGCTGAAAGGAGGAAGAGGAGACAGAGTACGCCTCCCTGCTGGCGGCCGTCTTCGCGATCTGTTTCCTGAAGGACTCGGGGAGGCCGCTCTTCAAGAACTCTTTGCGAGCTCTGAACTGCTCGTCGTCCTGAGAGGTTTCAGAGCTGCTGTCGTCAAAGATGGAAATCACCACAGACGCCTTCCGAGTGGTCTTCTCTTGGCCCAGCGAGGCCCCTTTGGAGACTGTGAGGAAGAAAGTACAGCACCATTAGATGAGAGTTCTAGAAAACGCTAAACTGCAAATGATGATTTTTTTAGAGTTACCTGGGACAGTCTTGGTGTCTTTGCCAACAGACGCTTTCCCCAGAACTTCATGTAGGCTGCGTAGAGGCTTCTGGGTTTTACTCTTTTCTGTCTGGTCCTCCTCCAGGCAGATGACAGAATCCTGAAAACCACATAATAATAATAATAATAATAATAATAATAATAAGAAAAAAACAACACTTAACTTTTGTGTTGTATTGTGGTCGTGTCCCATTGTGCCAATGCGGACAAAAACTAAACAGTACAAGATAATACGAGGGTCTGAGAGAAGAACCACAGCTACGCCAAAGATTTGTTGTTAAATTAGTGAATCGCTAAAACTTTATGGGTCCATTTTTGAATGACAAGACAGAGGAAATGTACAACGGCAGTCATTACCAAAGACTAGGGGGGCCTCATGAGACTTTATTAAGGTCGCCCAACAAATTTGTATAATTTCTCCCATAATTTTGTATTCAATATTTATATCTGCAGTACACCTTTGAGCCACACGAGGGAGCCTGAATGTTCCTACTGTTCTGATAATGTATTCATTCTGATTCATCTTCCATCTTTAACATTACCTCGTCTTCACAGTAGCTCTTCTTGGTCTCAGCTCGTGACGAACGCCTCAACGTGTCCTTTTCCTTGACGGCTGTTTTTTTACTCCGCTGGATCACTTTGGCTTTCTCCACCAGCTTCTTGGCCTGCTTCCTTTTTTTGGAGTCATTTGATGTCTGAAAAATAATAAAAGGCATCCATTCATCACCTCGTAATGATGATATTTAAAATGTTCCTTGTCATGTTAGTCCAGCAATTCATTACATTTAGAATTTGTCCAATCTGTAATAAATATATTTACTTTAGCAAAAGAGTTGATGCCACTTTCAGGCTTGGCCGTGGAAACGCTTCTATGGACTCTAGTAAATTTAATCCTGAAAAATAAAACATTAAATTACAACATTAAAAAGAACAATTACACATTAATACATTCATACACACTCAGTTTATTGGGTAGCTAACTGTTGGAGAATGTAGTTTGTGGTGCTGTTGAACTGTATTGCTTTACGTTACTGACAGGTGTTTCTAATATTTTGTCCACCCCATTCATATTAACGAGGGTACGCAAAAGAGAGGAAACAACTCGCTGCATAATGAAATTCAGTCCTCCAAAATGACCATAGTTGAATAAACACCTTTTCAATAACAAATGTAGCATTATAACCTTCATGAATGCAGGACTGTTGTATTAGAGCGCATTAGTTCAGCTTCGTTGTACCCAATAAACTGGCAACTGAATGTATACATGCATCCAAAATGTCCTTCATAGAACGTGTAACTGTATGTGTCACCTGATCGGGGTTTCTTTTGTGTCAGGTGGGCACACCATCTCTGCTACGAAGACTGTGCGTTTGGACTTGCGTATCTTTGGGGTGGACATCTTTGCAGGGCTGTGATTGGGTGAAGCAGCAGCAGCAGCAGCAGCGTCGTCCTTCGACTCGTTGCGTTTCCTGTTTTTTCTGGCGGGGCTCGTTGGGGTGAGCTCAGGCGCTTGCCGGACCACAGCTTCTCTTTTGGACCTCCTCACCGCCGGGACGGAGGGAGTTGAGGTGATCTCTGTTATCTCCTCTCTGTTATCATCAACCTCAACAACTGCGGCCACCGTTTCTTCCACAGCATCAGCTGGTGTGGTGATGGCTTCATCTTCTTCTTTAGCTTTCTTTCTGCCTTTTCTTGCTGGTTTCTTTTTAACTACTTTGTCTTCCTGAGAGGCAGCAGGGACTTGCTCAACAGCGGGTGCAATTACAGCGTCTTCTTCAGCAAATTTGTCCGCATCATCCCCAGCCTGCTTCTGCTTGCTCTGGCTCTTAGCAGGCTTGGTTTTGGAGGCGTCCAGACTGGGCTGTTTGAAGGCCGCCATGAACTGCTTCCTCTGTGCCTCGCTGCACTTGGGCATGGAGTCACTCTCGAGCACAGCCAGCTCTAGATCCTCCTCTTGAAGAACCACGTTGGATCTACGCCTAACAGTCGGAGTCGTAGCAGGAAGTTGGTGTTCGGCCTCCACGCGAGGAGACGACACAGGGCTCATCGCCCCCTTTCTCCTGCTGAAGATGGAAGCTAATCTCCCCCCCGCCATGGCGGCTTCCTGTTTGGGTGAGATTACATGCACTTCAGCCTGGATGGTGACGGTTCGGGGTGAGACGTGAAACGGTGGCTCTGCAGAATCGACATTTTCTTCAGCTTTAGGGACGTCCAACTGGTCAGTGTCCATATCTTCTGCCTCTGTTGTGATTTTACTTTCGCCGTCTCTGCACTGTTCATCTCCCGTGTCCTCTTCACCACCGCCGTGGCTCCGCACAAACTCTTCGAAGGAGATGGTGACTGTGCTGTTGTTTAACCTCGAGGCCTCATCCACATTGACCTCCATACTGACATCACACAAGGAGCTCTCTTTGTCCTTCTCCTCTGGTTCCGAATGCTTTGCCTTCCTTGAATTCCGGTTTTTGACTTGTTTTGCTTTGTCTTTTGACGGTACAATTGGAGACAATTCAATACCGTTTAGTTCCAAAATAAGTTTGTTCCCACATTCGGGACCATCTTCTTCAGCCTGCTCATCGCCGACAGTCTCAGTGGCACAAGCCTCAGCACTAAGCTGGGTAACGAGGGCCGCTGTATCACTGCCAAGAAGACTACAGCTGCCGACTGCTTCAGCTGCCGAGTCTCTGCCATCACGTGGTTTCTCGACAATCAGGCAGCTCGCCTCCTCTGCGAAGCTAAAGGTTTCAGCCTCCACAAGTTTCCTTGCAGCTTTGCTGGCCTTTCTCCTCCGTTTCTGAGATTGCCGTTTCACCGACGCTTCTGGGCCTGTGCGTTTTTCTGCGAGCTCAGACGTCCGACAGTTCTCCTTCAACTGTTCGGGGGAGCCGGTCTTTTCTTTAGAGGACGGCGCCTTCCGGCCAAAGTAGTCGGCGATGTTGTTGGAGCGAGGCGGTGAAAAGGGTTTCTCCACAGGCTTGGGCACGGGAGAGAAATAGTTTGTGATGGTCTTGACAATATGACTGCCTCCATCTTTGCGGGATTTCTTGCAAGGCTGTAAAAAGGAGTCAAAGCACGTAATAAATAAATTAAAACATTTTGCAACCACTACTGAATGCTATATAAAAAGGTCCAAATCAGTGTCACAGACATACCTGGGTGTCAAAGTCCTCAATGACGGATGCCATCGCCACAACACCAGCCATACTTTTAAAGAGACCTACAGCGAAAGGTAAACATTATGTAAATGAAGACATTAAGTATTATTATCCAAATAGCACAGTGGTCTAGGTTACATGCCATGTAAACTTATTATCCCGGAGTTATCAAATAAAGGAAAAAGTTCCATAACAATAGTGTTATGCTCAATTATTCCTTTAGTTTTCAACAACCTTTAAAGCTGTATCACTTAAAATTAAAAACCTCAACACTCCGTATTTGAATATTTACAACAAAAAAGGTACAGCATAGTTTATTATCCATTTATTAGACACTGTTGACACTGTAAACAGCCTATAAAACGGCATTAAAACCATACTAAGCAGGGAGTTAAGAGTTCAGGTGAAGCAAAGTCTGGATAAAAATGTTGATATACAGAATTTCATAAAGGGGTCAGGGAGACCTACATAAACATGTATTATAAACATGGCGCCCTGTAGCACTTACAGTTGTTGTGCAAAATGACAAAAAAAGGTGGAGGAAAACACTCACCTGATAAAAAGTGAAAGTGTAACTTGCTGCTACTTCGTCTTCTTGACTTTTTCCTATTCACTTCCCCGAGTGTGTGGATAAACAACAGACGCAAAGTTCATTGTGTGCGGCGGACATCAGTGTGGAGCCACCAGACATATGGACGTCACTGTAAAACAACAAGCTAGCAGACTTCGGTAGATGCTACTCTCAAAGCAGCTCCGCTCCTCGCGCGTCCAACAGTTGGTCCAAACGTCTCCAACATGTCAGCCACGAACATACTGAACATTAAACTGGAAAAACCTTACGAGGGTATTTTCCAAAATGTTCCGAGTAGGAATTCAAAATTCATGTTTTCTTGACAGTTTGTTGCTCTTTCTAAAAACGCGCCAGACCGGTCGAGAAACGAAGAGCGCCAAATATACGTGACGTTCATCGAGACCGGATTCAGCCAATCACAGGGGAGGAAAATGGCTCCGTCGTCGAACTGACGTAGTTTGCCCAAAACAAAGATGGCGTGTGGTTCTGCATTTGATGGAGAGGAAAAATTGACAGCTACCTCTGCTGGCTGCGCCAAGCCAATTCAACACAGAATAGTCAGTTATTTTACCAGTGATCACAAATATGACATACTTTATCATCATACAGTATATTAACACGTGTTTGTCAAGATACATTTAAATTACAATGGAAGCAATACAACTATATCAGAATCAGAATAATGCGTACAGATACATGGAATTTGACTCCGGTTTTCACAATGCTCTCAACATACATACATGGAATACACAAATAAACAAGAAAAATACAAAAACAAGGACATTAAAGACAAAAGAAAGAATATGAACATAAACAACAATAACAATGGACAATGGATTGGGGATATTAGTGTAGAATGGTGGTAATAGTGCAAATGGAATATATTTAACTGTCCGCAGTATAGGCTGTGATTGTTTTATTGGTAACAGCATAAAATTGCTGCAGTTACAATCATTTTCTTAATTAATCAATTAATCGCTTGGTCTGTTAAATGTCAGAAAATAGCCAAAATTGTCCCCCACTATTTCCTCGTGCTCAAGGTCATGTCTTCAAATGTCTTGTTTTGACCGACAGTCCAAAATCTAAAGATATTCACTTTACGCTGACATAAAACAGATAAAATCATCAAATTGTATTCTCACATTTGAGAAGCTCGAATTCAGGAAATGTTTGGTATTTCTGCCTAAAAAAGGACTTAACCAATTAATCAATTAGAAAAATAGTTCCCAATTACTTTGTTGTTAATCGTCAGGTTGATAAATCGCCAAATCATTTAGTAATTACATGAAATTCTCAGCGGACAACTCATTTCGTTGAACTGCCATATGATTTGTGATACTTTTGAAGTTTTAATACAAACATGTTAGTCCAACTGCTTAACATTTTGAACAGGGTAGATTGACCCTGTGGTCATCAACAACAGTAACATCAGTTAGTGTCTGTATGTGACGAAACTCTGTAGCAACAGTTTTACCAAACCTTGCCCACCAAAGTGACACATTAACCTTGTGAAAAGGTTCGGTATTTGTATAGATCAAATGAAAACTCACCAAAGGTCAGTTTCCCCAAAAAATGAAGAAGAACATCAATAGTTACCAGAGGATGTAATTTTAAGTCTGTGTAATTTTAAGACGTTATTCCTGTTAAAGGAGAGTTTACGAAGATATAATAGTGCCATATATTTTATTGCATAGTTGTGCACTCCAAGCACCACTTTCAAACCTTGTCAACAGACAAAAGTCCAAAGTAACATGTCACGCCCTACATTTTCAACAATGCTTGGTGTTCCTCTCCGGGTGAAACTGAGGGAGGTGTAGTGGTATCATGTGATGTGAGGGATGCTTTTCCTCATAGCTCATATTTCAGACCTAGGTTCCTCTTTACAAACTTTATATGTGGTGCTGCAGAGTGATTTGGCCATAGTATTATTAACAGAGTTACTCAATGGAAGCAAGTAAGTCAACAGCATCAATGCAAAAAATAGTTCCTGGTTCCACCTCTGGTAAGTTGACTCTTTCATAAACCTTGGACAATAATGCGCTTCCGCAACATCTAGTGCAATTGTTTGGGCCGGACACTGTGGTTAAGAATAAAGTGTTTATTTTAGTTTATTTAACAGGGACTACACATTGTTACTATAGGAAGAAGTAATTAAATGAGGTGTTTAGCTGAAGCTAACTTGAAGCTTCTGTCTCTACTCAGGCTTTTGAATTTATGTTAAAACTAATAAATGTGATGTAGGCTATTTCTACTGAACTAAATTCAACTTTACTAAAATGTAATACTTCTTTGTATTAGTGGATATACTGTTGTATTGACATAGTTTTTATTCATATGCTCAGTTTACGTTTATTACGTACACAGTCTAATACATCAGTCTTGCTGTAAATTTGACCTTCATGCCTTTACAGAAAACACACGCCTAGTGATTGAATTACCTCGGCAATCAATCAATCCCTTGATTCTGATTCTGACATAGTGTTATATAAAGGACATATAAAGACTACTGTGTCTCTCTTACAGGACAAAGTCCCCACTCTCCAGAGTTGAGGATTGTGTTGGTAGGTGGAAGAGAATTAACCGGGAGCCCCAGTAATAAGAGTGCAGCTGGCAACATCATTCTGGGTAAAAGTGTTTTTGAGACCCACAGAAGAACTGCCCAGAGTGTTGTGAGGCAGCAGCAGGTACATGGCAGACACGTCACTGTGGTCGATACTCCAGGCTGGTGGTGGCACTACCCACGAGACAACACGCCACAGCTAGATCAGATAGAAATAAAGAACAGTGTCCACATGTGTCCACCGGGGCCCCACGCCTTTCTTCTCGTCATTCCAGCCGGTTCTATGTTTCTTGAGATCTTTACATGATCGCTGGAGGAGCACATGCATCTTTTCAACAAAGGAGTGTTTGATCACACCATTGTGCTGTTTACTGCAGAGGGTCCGCTGAGTGGCAAAGAATTGGAATACGAAATCAGTCAGTGGCCAGCACTTCAGATGATCCTTAAACAATGTGGAAACCGAAAACATGTTCTCAAAATCAACGACAAGCAGGATAGCACTCAAGTCCAAATGCTTTTTAAGAAAATAGAAGCAATGGTTTCTTGAAAGGCCGGTGGTCACTATTCTATTGATAGTGCTGATGGAAAAGCTGTGAGAGAGAAAATAGAAGCAATGGTTGATCGAGCATCTCAGAGGTTTGCCAAAGTGCAGACAAAGAGAAGGAAACTCAAAGCCCTGATTGAAGGTGAGTCTAATCAACAAACAATACATTTGATTTATTGTGCCATGCATAAAGCACCATTGATTCATATTTTAACCTGTATTCTTTTGCAGATACTGAAATCAATATTTGAGTTTTAAAAACATGATAATGATATATCAGCCAAAAGTTGTTTTATATATATATAAACACATACAAAAGAAAACAACAAAAACAACTTGTTGGTTAACCTGAAAAATACCACCAGGACACACAAAATTACAAGCCTGACCATTGTTTGGTTCCCCTTTCTATATAGATGGCAAGACCCCCCCAAAACATTTAAGAATAGTGATGGTCGGAGCACAGTGGTCAGCCAAGAGCTCAGCGGGCAACAACATTCTGAGAAAAGATGCTTTTGCTGTTGATCACACAACAGAGTTCTGTGAGATAAGCCACAGCATGGTGGCAGACAGGCAGCTCACAGTGGTCGATTCTCCCGGCTGGTATTACAACAGCACCCTTCAGGACATCTGTGAGATGGATAAAATTGAAATAGAGAACAGCATGCATCTCTGCCCTCCCGGACCCCACGCAGTGCTCCCCGTGGTCGGCCTGGCATCCGCGTTCAACGCATCGTACCGGAGAGCAGTCCAGGAGCACATGAGTCTGTTCAAAGACGAAGTGTGGAAGCACACCATTGTGCTGTTCACTAGAGGGGACTGGCTGGGAGTGAAGACCGTGGAAGAGCGTATCGAGAGCGAGGAAGGTCTGCAGTGGCTCGTGGAAAAGTGCGGGAACATGTACCATGTCCTGGACAACACGAAGCGCAGCGATGAGACGCAGGTGACGGAGCTCCTCGAGAAGATTGAAGAGATGTGGGCAGGAAACAAAGACCCTCATTATGAAGTGGACCTGGGCCGTACGGAGCAGATGGAGGCAAGGAAAGAGGCGGGACACAAGACGGCCAAAAGGATTCGGCAAACCAGCCAAAGACAAGAAAGAATACTAAGAGAGTTGTTTAGAGGTAATCAAACAATTATCATATCATTTTTGATTAATTCAATCACTGTTACTGATGGAAAACATTTTTCCAGGGGAGAAGCAGCCAATCATTGACATGAGGGTTGTAATTGTTGGCTGAAAAAGACTCGGGGAAGAGTATGGTAGGAAACAGGATCCTTTTTGAAGAGCTATTTGACTCAACTTGGCTGAAGAAGGTAACCAAGCATACTGCCTAAACTGAAATATTCTCGGAGCAGGGCCAGGGAGGATAACATTGAATTTGTCATGCCTATTGTGGTTATATTTTATTGTTTTCCCATTTAGGAATTCCAAGATCAGCAAGAAACCACGACGTGTGTGAAACATGAAAGAAATAGGTCTGGAATAAACGTCTCAGTCGTTGAGGCTCCAGGCTGGTTAACAGATTCGACGATACGCGACTGGCTCAAGGGTGAAGTTCTGCGCAGCGTCTCCATGTGTGCTCCGGGCCCCCACGTTTTTCTCTTAGCGGTTCCCATTTCCAAAGCCTTTACAGAGAATTCCTACCAAGCAGTTGTCGAGGTCTTGATGCCATTCGGTGAGAGAGTCTGGAGACACTGCATGGTGATGTTCACCTGGGCAGACTGGCTCAATCACAGGTCCGTTGGGGAGCACATCGCCGCACAAGGCAAAGCCCTCCAGCGGCTTGTGGAAAAGTGTGGGTACAGATACCAAGCTGTCAGCGGCAGTAGTTTTGGAGATGGTTTTCCAATCATGGAGGTGTACCACAAAATGACTGTCATGATAACATGAAACAAGGGCTGCTACTTCGCCGCTGAAGGCAAAAAGGGGGAAAAGAAGAAACCAACTCTGACCTGGCAGGAGTGGGACAGCAGGGAGCAGGAGCTGATAGACCGGATGTTGAAAGCCGTGGCACAAGAACCCGAGGAACCACCGCTACGATCTGTAAAGATGACAGCTAGCTTCGACGGAGCCTTCATTCCAAGCAGTGAGTCTGATATTACTCCATCAGGGTTTTTCTTTCTATAGCAATTCAAAATGGTAAATATGTGCACTGCTGTTGTGAATCACACCATTCAACTTCTGTTTTCACTGAGCGGAGATGTTCCCTCAGAAGTTGGGAGCACATTTTGGAGACCAAGAGCACGTGCCAAGGTGTCCGAATGGCTGAGCAGTGGAGTCGAGAACTCGGATGTCACCTCTGGGGTTGGCAGCATGACTGCCTCGGCCAGTTATGTGGGGAAGTTGGATGAAAGCCTTCTGATAGACAACATCCAACATCCACCAATGACTACGTTTTTCCCAGAAAAAGACAAAATGACGTTAGACACTCTCCATGGCAGGGTAGGAACCCAACGCAGGCACTCTTTTTAAGCTGACTATGCAGCAATCACAAGCAGGCTATAAACTGAGGTACAGACAGTGATAGGCTACACACAATAGGAAAGCACTGTTTACCAAACACTGTTGGACAATGTCAAGAAAATGGATCAATATCCAGTGATATTAGTTTCTGATGTCTGGACAGCTAATTGTATGATCTTTAAATGTATGGTTTATGTTATGTTCAAGGGAAATAATTGACTGTGATTAACCTATAGCTGTATTAATTAAAGGTTATCATGGTAAATGCAGAATTTATGTCTTTCCTGTTTTCTGTATTATGCAAAACTTTGGGTTGGAACCAATAGAGCAAAGCTTACTGGCTTACTCAAAGACAGATCAACAACATGTGTTTGTTCAGGTTTATAATTTAAAAGCAGTAAAAAAAAAAAAAGGTTAAACAAGAAATAAAATCATGGAAAAAGCTAAGGAATACTTTAATTGTATAGTGGATATGAAAAATAATACAGAAATGACATGTCTTCTTCAATAAATATCTAATACAAATCAAGATTCATGTGGTTATTTTACCAGTTATGGAGTTATGTAAAGAGGTATGATGGGGTGAATGACTTACTTATTTTATTTTTTTAACTTTTTTACTTACCTTTCACAAATGTAATTGGATCAAAAAATGGATGATCGATCGGTCATTTTTGTCATTTAGGTTCCTCCGAACTTTTCAGAAGGGTCGTGTTGCTGCTACACAAAACATCACCTGTTTGAAAGCAAATATTGTTAAAAAAAAGAATTGTCTTGTGTGTAAAAAACTGTAAACAACACATAATTAAAGCAAACACGAATTATTTTGTGTCATTCCCCAGTGACTTGTGTGTTATAAGTGTTATTTTAAAATGATAGCATAGATTTGAACAAAAACAGGAATGCACCTTCCCGGCCGCCGTCGCTGCTGTGATGTTTTCCTTGACCCGTTAGATTCATGACTTTCCTTCCCGCTGCTGCAGCTGCTCCCGGTCTTGTGCCCTCTCTCCCTCGCCTGTCCGCTCGCCAACATGTCGGAGTATAATGCGGTACCGCCACTCGGATCCGGGGACCCTCTGGGCGAACAAGCGGCTCTTGGGAACGGAGCAGGTGGCATCAAAAAAGACGCGTTTGCGGACGCGGTGCAGAGGGCCCGGCAGGTGAGGAGATGTGACCGGAAAGAGAGTGTTTGGTTGTGGAGGCAGGGCGAGCTAACTAGTTAGCTTGAGGGCTAGCATCGTTGACACGGCTTGACACATAACACAAGGATGCATGTTATTATTATATTATATTCATGTTGGTCATAATAGCACAGTTAAGCTCGTTGAGTTACGTTATGTTAATGCTTTTTGTACAGTTGCTAAAATACTGTGTACCTTAACAAACCTACACTGAATTCCGGGATGCAGACACAGAGAAATTCGCAAAATGATATTCATTTCATTACCTGTGAAGGTGGTTGATGTAAAACTAATGCAGATAATAGTTCATCAAAGTAGCCAACAACAAAGGCAACAGTGCATCAACGTATAGTAATCCAATGTAAAAGCTAACGTGACTGTATACAGTCTTAGATTATATCTGTATAATAATAATAATAATAATAACAGATGGATAGAATAGCAAAAAAAGTCACAAAAACAAAATCAGATAGTTAAGAAATAAATAGAATTTTTAAAGCCAAATCATAGACAATAACTAAAATAGACTGATTATACTAAGAAACTGATAATGGAGACTAAAGATAGGGCCATAATATGAACTTTAATATGTACTTAATACACACAGTCCATGCTAAGATGCTCAGTCCAATGTGTAACTTATACACAAGTGTTGTTTTTCTTGGCTCAATTGTCGTGGTGCATTTTACACTTGTGTTCCAGATTGCAGCTAAAATTGGGGGTGACGCTGGCCCCCCCATGAAAAACAACGCTGCATCGGAGGGCTTTGGATTCACTGCACAGAAGCGACAGCTGGAGGACGCAGGTACTGGTGGCCGCGCTGCTCGGTGCGCAGTCTGTCCTTGATCTACCGTGGCTTGGAGTGTGCCTCATTTAACAAAAGCTTCTGCTGAATGAATACATGTTAACCACCATCTTTATTGCACACTTGATGATGGCTGTAGATGCAGAACGTGTTCCACAAGGACACGTCACACATTTACAGTAGTTATCTGTTGTTTCCTCACCTGACAGATGAACCGGAGAGCAAGAAGCTGGCCGGAGAGAGTGACTTGGATTCAGCCAATGCATTGTGTGAGTTCGTCCCGCTATTTTATGCACTGTTTACTCTTTGCTTTGTGTTTTTTGGGCGGCAGTAGCTCAGTCGGTGGGTACTGGCTCGGAAACCGAAATGTCGCTGCAAGTCCCATCACGGGCCAAATATGGGGCATGGACTTTTGTTCGCCTCCTGGGCACTGCGCCCCTGAGCAAGGCACTGGACCCCCCAAACTGCTCCCCAGCGCTGTATAGCAGCTGGCTGCTGCTCCTGATCCTAGGTTGGGTTGCTGTGCTGTGTGACAATAGAAGTTGATTTAACTCACAGTTGACTCTATTTAAAACAGACTTCCAGTTGTTCGGTACTCTTGTTCCAGTAGTTTGCCCCTTTACCCTTGTCTCCTCTGTGTGTGTCTCACAGTCAGTCAGTAATCCAAAACCTCTCCCTTTGCTCTGTTGTCTCCCTTTCTCTCTTTTCTGGTGTCCCTTCTCAGCTATTGGTGAACAGCTAGCTGCTCTTGCACAACAAAGGTGAGATCTCTTAGCTTTCAGTTTGATTGTGTATTATGTAGAAGTATTGGGCCTTTGTATCATGGCAGTGGATATAAACAAGATTGTGGCTAAAAATATGACTAGAAAGTCTCCTATTGCCTGATTTGTTGCCTCTTTTTCCTTCCTTGTCATCCTCGCTTGCTGATGGTGTCAGGCCCGCCTCCAGCACGGAGGAGTACAGTATACCGGACAGCATGGTGGGACTGAGTGAGTGCAGACCAACTCTGTTTTTTACACATATTGATGCCACTCAGTTTCTGCAATATAAGACACAAACAGATCCCCTATTGATAAAGTTCTCTCTCTTTGAACCCAGTTATCGGCCGTGGAGGTGAACAGATCAACAAGATTCAACAGGAGTCAGCTTGCAAGGTTCAGATCGCACCAGGTACCGTCTTAAGTGAGGCTAAACACTTATCCACAGCTTTACATCTCTTTTTTATAGTTTACAATTCAGTATTTTCCTTTTAGATGTTGAACTAAAATGTATGTACTCCATGTGTGTGTGTGTGTCCAGACAGCGGAGGCCTTCCAGAGAGGTGCGTCTCTCTCACGGGATCCCAGGAATCCATACAGTAAGTATCAGACTTAATGGAAATAGGCTCATTATTACTCATGATTCAGTGGGTTTCCCTCTGTACTCATTTAAACGGGTTACCTATAATGACACTTGCCATCATATCAGCTTAATAACATAATGTAGTAGAATGAATGTGGGGTAACTGGTAAGCTCTGCCCTGGCCAGGAATGCCAAGAGACTGCTGGATGAGATCGTGTCACGGGGGAGGGGCACCCCCCCTTCTTCGTATCACGAGTCCACCAACGGGCAGAACGGCACGGTGCATGAGATGATGATCCCAGCTGGCAAGGCCGGCCTCGTGATTGGCAAAGGAGGAGAGACTATCAAGCAGCTGCAGGTACAGTGCATGGCTGTTACTTTTACATTTAGAAACTGTGGCCATCTTGGCAATTTTGCGATATATGAAAAACTGGAGCCAGGAAAATATAGATTTTTATACTCCCGTGAAGATGCACACGATCATAATTTTTCATGTATGTGATGTTCCAGGAGCGTGCAGGGGTAAAGATGATCCTGATCCAGGATGCCTCTCAGGGACCCAACGTCGACAAGCCCCTGCGCATTATTGGAGATCCTTACAAAGTCCAGGTACATTCACGAAGTCATCTCGTCAACATGAATGCGTGGTGCTGCGTTGCCGTGTATTGTAATTGTCATGTTTTCCTGTTCAGCAAGCCCAGGAGATGGTGCAGGAGATTCTGAGGGAGAGAGACCACGGTGGCTTTAGTGAAAGAAATGACTTTGGCTCCCGAATGGGAGGAGGCATGGATGTGAGTTAGTGTGTGTGTGTGGGGGGGGGGGGGGGGGGGGAGAAAGTGGGATAAGTTGTCTTTGAACCAAATCCAAGATTTGAAAACGTTTCCCGCTCAGATCCCTGTACCAAGACACTCGGTCGGTGTGGTCATCGGGCGCAACGGAGAGATGATCAAGAAAATCCAGAATGATGCTGGAGTCAGGATACAGTTCAAACAAGGTGATGACTCTCATGATCATGATAAGTGCAAATGAAAGACACCAGAGCAATAACCTTTGTGTGCCTTCTTCACATGAGTTTGTTTGTGCAGAGAAGGTGTCATCTTGCTCTCTTTCTTTGCCTCTCTATTGATTCAAGGTGCATTATTGAAAAAGATGTCTGAGTGCTGGGTGTGCCTGCGAACCTCTACTGTTACAAAGGATTGTGTGAGGTCTTGAGTTTGGGTGTTGATTCTCAGAACTACAAGGGCCCCTGTGATTACGGATATCAAAGATACAGCTTAATGAGGATTTCAATCTTTCTTCCAGATGACGGGACTGGTCCAGAAAAAATCGCCCACATCAGTGGTCCCCCTGACCGCTGTGAGCACGCTGCCCAGATCATCAACGAACTGATGCAGAGCATCAGGGTCAGGGAGGAGGGACAAGGGGTATGGATCACTCTCTCTCACAATGTCTAAAACGTGCTTTTGTTCACCCGTAAACTACTATACATACACACACACACACACACACACACACACACACACTAAAATGCAGTAAATGATGTTCTAATACAGAGGCTTTCTCTCTCCATCCACAGGGTACCCCAGGTCCTCCAGGCATGCCTGCAGGCAACAGGGGCCGAGGTGGGGGACAAGGCAGTTGGGGGCCCCCCGGAGGGGAATTGACCTTCTCTATTCCCGCCCACAAGTGTGGCCTCGTGATTGGCCGGGGGGGAGAGAACGTCAAGTCCATCAACCAGCAGACTGGGGCCTTTGTGGAAATCTCTCGACAGCCGCCCCCCAACGGAGACCCCAACTTCAAGCTTTTCATCATCCGGGGCTCACCGCAGCAGATCGACCACGCTAAGCAGCTCATCGAGGAGAAGATCGAGGCATTTACCGCTCTTATTTGTTTAGTTACATGCAGTAAAACCTTTCTTGGGTCTTCTTCATTTGATGTGTGATCTTGTCATCTGCCACAGGGACCTTTGTGTCATGTCGGCCCCGGGCCAGGTGGACCGGGTCCTGCTGGTCCAATGGGTCCCTACAATCCCAACCCATACAACCCCAGACCGCCTGGGGCACCCGGACCACCGCAGTTAGTAGCTACAAGCAATGTGCAGTAAAGCTTTACAGTGGCACGTAAGGAGGTTGATGATCCTGAGAGATTATTAATGATGAACCATTTCTTTTCTCCTCAGCGGTGGTCCTCCGGGTCCTCAGCACTACACCTCTCAAGGCTGGAGCAACACCTTCCAGCAGTGGCAGCCCCATGACCCCAGTGAGTCACCGTTTGACTTTTCAGGGTTCAATGTTTTATTTCTGCTCATTTTAGCATGTTTGGTCAAAAGCGGTTCAACCCTGCTTTCATTCCAGGCTAGAGGTTTTAGTGTATAGCCCTCCCAGTCATTTCAGATGAGTAATGGCGTTCATTCTTCTAAGTCTGGGATGGTCAACAAGGAGTACTGATGGAACTGTTGTTATGAGATGCAGAAGTCTTGACCTTAAGCTGCTCTGGCTAACCCTGTCTCTGTTTCCCCCCTGGTCTCCAAGCCCGGTCTCCAGGCCAGTAGCAGGGGCTCACCCTCACCCTATGAGGACCTCACACCCTCCACCCTGCGTCTTTTCTAGGCAAGGCAGCAGCCAATGACCCCAACGCAGCCTGGGCGGCCTACTACGCTCAGTGCTACCAGCAGCCGTCGGGGACTGTGCCGGCCCAGTACCCCGCTGACCCAGCTGGAAGTGCCCAAACTTCAGGGGACCAGACCCAGCCTGCTCAGGCGCCGGGGGGCCAGCCAGACTACACCAAGGCCTGGGAGGAGTACTACAAGAAGATGGGTGAGGCTGCACAGGAACCCCACCTGTAGCTTTATCTTCAAACGATTGCTTTTGTACCAGTGCTGAAATGATTTGGTGGTTTAAACATTCAAACATGCTCAGTTCAAAGGGAACTGTGTAGGGAAGAACTGAATGACGGCTCTTCACTATGCTGCAAGATTACCCATCAATCATTGCACCTCACTGCATACTCGAAACCTGATTTAGAACGAGGAATGTAGTGCGGATTTGGGACGCACAGAATGTTTAGTTCCCGAGGTATTACTGGTCTTGAAGTCTAAATGAATGTGGTCGTGAGCTGGCTCATGTCTCTCTTGTCCGTCACCTCTAGCCCAGGCAGGAGGCTCTGTCCCTGGCTCGGCAGCTGCAGCCCCGGGGGCAGCGGGGGGAGCGGCGTCCACACCGGGGGGCCAGCAGGACTACAGCGCAGCCTGGGCCGAGTACTACAGGCAGCAGGCTGCGTACTACGGACCGACGGGACAGGCCTCTGGCCAGCAGTCCGCCCCCCAGCAAGGACAGGTCGGTACAGAGGCTACAGCCAGGTTTTCATCCGACACACAGCTTCCCATGAATACATTTTGAGAGTTTATAATGAGAAGTTTTAAAACAAACGACGTGCCTCCTTTCAACCGTTTGTACTTTAGACGCAGTGAGAGCTCATGGCAGTAAGACGTGGGAGAGACGGGACGAGGAAGACCACCTGGAACCTGAGGCCAGGATCTCGTGTGTTTTAAATTTTCTTGTGAGGGGAAATTAAAAACCGTCCTCACCACCAAACACCACCGGGATACTTTTTAACAGAAATAAGAACTGAACAAAACATTCTAGTGCTTTGCTGCTGAGGGGAGGGAGACAGGTACACAGCTCCTCAGCGCTTCCGCATACATTTATATATGAACACGGAAGCCTTGAAACGTGTACTTTATTACAGAGGGGTTGCCAATAAAGCTGTCTCATCTTCCTTTTAATAACTTCTTAAGACCCATTTTTATAGCACTTCATACCCCTGTGTTATATTTACTGAATTGCACATAGCTATTAGGACTATAATCATATTGTGTAGAAATCCTTTTTACAGCGTATTTGATTTGCTCAATGTCCTGACTTTTAATTTCCCCTCAGCTGAGGCTCGCATGGTACTTCATCTTGTGTACAACTGGATTCTTTTGCTTGTGATGAATGCGTTCACTCGCAGTATTTTGTACGAGCCTGTTCGACGATACGTACAAATGAATTCCACAGTGTTGATTCGTGCATGTGGGCTGACGACTAACTGCTGAAAGCTGCTCGAAGGTAGACGACAAAAAAAACACTGAAAAGTAATAATAATAAAGAGCAAGAACGGCTTCTTCTGATGGTGACGTGCCAGTTATGTGAAAATGTGTTAATTTGGGAGGAGAGTCCTCTTAAGGTGGCAGGAGTTCTGGGCCTTACACCAGGTTCAGCATCTTTGTTTCGGCCTTGGATTAAAAATGGCTTCCCTTTAACCGCCCTGCCATAAACACCCACCAGTGTGATGATCACGACGTAAAACATGTTTGGTATCTTTGGTTTTATGGATGCCAACAAGAATGCGTTGATGGTTTTTTCCCTTCCCCACAGTTATGGTGTGCAACAGAAAGAAATGTAGTCTTCCAGTGTGTCTCACTTTAAGATATATTGTATATGTACATATATATATTCAGCAATATAAAGGCTGTTGGTTTTGACTTCCAGAGATGTATCAGGTATGAATCTTGTATTTTGAACAGCAGCTGTGAGCCTGCCTTTGGCAGCAGTGTTGATATTGTTAATAGACGACCACCAGCAGCGATACTGAATTAAATTGAGGCAAATGTTGATTACTGTAAAATGTGTCGAACATTTTGTCTTTCGTGTTCAAAACTCTGTGCAGACGGAACTAAAGCACAGTTACAACAAATCACCACTACATGTCACTATTAGTCTTCAGATGAATCAGTCCTGCGAAGATGAAACACAGATATTGACGAAAATATTTTCTTCTGAAAGGATTATGGCGGCCCAACGCCTTTAGTCATTCCAGCCGTCTGTATGTGCATTAGACATTCAAACCCAAACAAGCTACTGAACCCATGGCATGTAAAACATACTGTACTGTGGTTTTACACATCTTTACCTGTATTTCTGTCATTTCAGTTTTCACACACTTGAAATTGGCAACACATTTAATTTGTAATAGTCTCCTGCACACGTGAGCTGATTTGTAATTTCACAACACAGACTGAGAATAATTGTTTCCATTCTCGTGTCCCACTGCAGCAGAAGTGATAAGTGAGTTTGTGAACCAGGAAGTCGGTCCGTTAATCAAACACAAAGTTTAAGAATGCGGCTGCACGTCAGACCTCAACCCTGTCTATCTACTAGCCGCAAAGATTGTCTGACTGTATTCACAGATCGAAACAAACAGCTTTGCTGAACTTGGAAGAAAATATATATGCAGTGCAATTTTAAAAATTCTTTAATTTATATCTTTAAAATTAAAAACATCTGAATTTCATTCTACCACCTCCAAAGGCACAGTCATACTTATAGCAGACCAAATTCATTAAAACACTGCCACTGAACATCTTTTTTTTTTTTTCTCAATTAGTTTTGTACATGAGAAACAATGCACAATAAAAATGACTCATTTCTTTTTTTCTTTTTTTTTACCGGGTAAACAATGGCCATTCTATATGCTGCAGATCATTTAAAGACAGGAGTGATATGTACTCTGCTGTGGTAGCATTGGACTTGATGTGCTGGTTTGAAACAGGCAATGCTTGTTGACAACAGTGCAGCTCTTTAAAGACGTATTGGAAAAATCCCCCCCAAAAAAATGACATGTTTACGACAACCGATCTCGACGAACAGTGTTTAAGAATATGAATGTCTGAAGCAAAAACACAAAGCCGTTGGCAGGAGGGCGGAAACACGAGTAAGATGAGTGTCGGTGGAGGACTGTGCAGAAAGAACCGTCTCACCACACGGAGCGGCCCCACATGTTCGCACGAAATCTGACACCTGCGCTCCATTAAAAGTCACACCTAAGACTTCAGAGAAAAGAATCGTTTCAGATAACTGTCAAGAGTTTTAAAAGACAATATTCAATATGTGCAAAGAGGCAGGGCCTTGGCCTGTTTGTGGAGAAAGTCATCAGATATGATATAGGATTGATAACCGGACGTACAATCACAAAGCAATTATGCACACAGAGCTTTGCTTACAATGTGTGACGACACAGCACCGAACACTGCACAAGAGGTTCACTTAGTGACAAGAAAATTCAAAATAGTGGATAAATATACAGTAGAATATAAGTACATCACTGTTCTTACTCAGGCACAGTCCTCCTTAAAACATAGAGCATTTAAAAACAATGGATTGTGGGATAAAAGCACACAGGTTTGGCACACGTTGAAAAGTATATTGAAATAAGGCAGGAAAAATTATACATTAAAGGAAAATGAGGCCACAGAGGAACTTATTGGATGGACAGGAGTGAAGCACTTTGAACCAACAAAATAAATGACACATACAGTACCTCTCTCGTGGAACCAGATGTTCAGTTAAAGAGAGAGGTTTTTGCAGCAACTAATGGGAGCCCCAGTTCCACAGCTTCTTCTTTTACAAGTGTGTGTGTGTGTAGCAGCTGTGACAGGCACTCCAAGAACACAAGGACGGTTTCTCTACAGGCAAACCAAATCAAACTGGAAATCTACACACGTCTCCCAAAATCAAAACCTGAATGCCTCAGAAGATATCTACAGAGGAAAACAGTCAACGCTTGGCATGACTCACACACGCTCACACACGCTCACACACACGCACGCACACGCACACACACACACACACACACATCATCATCATGGAAAAGCATGTTCAGTCAGCCTCCAGGAGTAGAAGCAGAGCGCAAACAAAAAAACACACACACTCTCACACACACACAAAGAAGGCGAACCCACCCAAAAATCCAACCCTCCTGCTGTCACTCACAAATGTCTCTTCCCTTCTGAACAACACAGCTTCCCACATTCAACGAATTAGTAACAACTAAATTCAGCCGTTTACTGTCGAAGGTCAACTTTGCACCCTCCTCCTGTGGAAGCTACCTTTACACACACACACACACACACACACACACACACACACACACACACACA